TATATATATATATATATCAACAAGCTATGCCAAATAGGATACAAAGTGACCAAAAAAATCAAATAGAGCTTAGCAAGTTGAAAGTGAAAATAAGGAAAGCTTTATGGGCAATGCCAGGCACTTGCAATGCTTCACTGGCAGTGTTATTATAGGATACTGGAAAACTGTCTATCAGCCTTGTACTATACTTTGTAATAAAGTATTCTGAAGACTTTAAAAAAGTAAGTTTTTGTGTATATACATACTTTGTACTGAGACATAGGACCTTCATAGTAAGACACATTTCCAACATTAGTTTTTATTCTGACGCAGGGTCTTGCTAAATGACTAGAATGGGTCCAAATACCAATCCTTCTGCCTCAGTATCCTAGAATGCTGGTATTATAGGCATGCACATACCACCACGATCAGCTGGTAAAGTACCATCTATTTAAAAATAGAGCCTACTCAACAGAAAGCAGAAAATCTCTAAGTGGATGTTTGAGAAACAGGCTAGGAGTGCAGTGAGCACAACTTGCAGGAGGAGACATGTGTGTCCTGCTATGGCTGTATAAAGGTAGCAGCGTTGGAACACACCTCCGGATCTCAATAAACAAGAAGCCTATTAGGTTGGGACATTCCCTTGGCAGACAAAGGAAAAATAATGGACAAACAAAAAACTGATATGAGAGCGGGCCATAACAGATCTTATGGAGGGTTTAATAAAGGTAATGGTAAAGTACCACTTCATGAATGGACCTATTGAAGCCATCATCTTCTGTAAGGATCAGCAGTATTATGAGGGCCATATACACATGGTGTGAATTTCTTTCTTCAACATGATATAAAATTTCAAGAATTGGTAAAACCTAGGGAATAAAAATCAGAGTATAATATTTCAGTACATGATTATAAAACCTTAAATTATTTTAAATCTTTACATTTTATTTTGTATCTTTTATTTACTAACAGTTAAATTTTCCTTTAGAGAAAAAAAAAAAAACATAAACCTCTTCTGACTATGTATTGCTAAAATTCCAAAAACAAAAATTATTACACACTACGAAATGGTTTCTAAAGGTCTATGCAACCTAAAGACTGGATTTGTAAAAACCACTTAAACTCATGATTTAAAGGTTTTATGAAGTCACATTACTTTTCCCCAATCAAACTTAGGATAAAAGCTTAGTTACTCAGAAATTAAAGAGCATCTTAATTTATATATGCTTAATATCATTTGTATTTTAATGCTAATAAAGATAAGCGAGTTCAATAAGCAATTCAAATAAGCAATCAGATTATTACTACAAAAATAATTTTCTCAACATGTGCACTGAGATTCACCCTTCAGCATATCTGTCAAGCTTTTCATTTTAAGACCCCGCACACACACAGATGAATTTGTTTTGAATTATTTTGACACCTTCAATTTGTTCATTCATTCATCTATAATTGAAATCAGACAATAACCTGTAAACTATGTAAATTAATTATTACAAACACATGTCTGGAAAGCACAATGGCATATACAGCCCATGAATATTGGGAGACATACCTATTGCAGCAATCTGAGGTATTTACTTTTCCCCTAAATTATAAAGTGCAGCTGCATGAACATTATTTACTTCCAGGAACTAAATGCACCACAGTTACCAAAATAGTCATTACTTTTTTTTTTTGAAATTTCATTTAATTTCATTTTGAAGAGTAAAAATAAAAGCAAAAACAGTAGGAAAAAAAAAAAAACAAATAGTAGAAACAAAGACAAACAGGGTAACACAACAATACTTTTGTTACAGATTTTCAAAACAAGAATAGCTCGTTAACAATAATTGTTTTGTTATCTATTTTTATCATCAAATCTGTTGCTCAGATTAACAGATACAATTATGCAAGACTGGAGAAGTAATTGAATTAAACTTTTTTTAAAAATTTATTTTAATGAGAGTATAATAAAAATTCATAAGATATTACAAATGGTACCCATTTAGAAGACGAACAAGACAGGTATTCAAGCATGGCTTTTGTATTACACATTGCTGGCCTTGATGTCATTTCTTAGATGGCAGAAATCAGCATTTAGTTAGTCTAGGTGAAAATTCTACCCATTAATTGTTATTTTCAAAAAAATTGATGGAAATTAGTACAATCATCTCAGCCATCCAGTATACATAATTGTATATTTTCCCCCTTTCTCCTTTCCTATCTTTTCTCATTTCTCTCATCTTTGTTGCTTAAGCCTTAAATTCAATTTCTCTCTGTTTTACTATATCTATTATACTTTTTAGGTTTTATTTCTTCTTTCAGGTTCTTACACTAGGGAGATAATATGATATTTATACATGTGGGTCTGATTTATTTCACTTATGAGTATAGCCACTAGTTGCATCCACTTACCTATAAAGGATTCAAGTTTGTCTTTCCTTATAGCTGAGTAATAATCAATTGTATAAAAATACAACATCAATTTTACCCATTCCTCAGGTGATGGGCATTTTGGTTGTTTTCAAGATTTGGCTATGACAAACTGTGCTGCTATAAACATGGGTAAACATATATCACTATGGTATGATGTTTTCAGTTCTTCTGGGAAAATACCCAGAAGGGGAATAGCTGGGTTTAATGGGATTTCTAGTCCTAGTGTTTTGAGGAGTCTCCACCCTGATTTCCATAGTGGCTGTACCAGTCTACATTCCCAACAGTGGAGAGGGTTCCTTACCCCCTCCCCCATAGCCACTCAAGCATTTGTTATTAATTGAATTCTTTAAGATAGGCATTCTTTCTGGGATGAGATGGTATCTCAATGTTGTTTTAATTTGCATTTCTTGAATGACCAGTGCTGTAGAAGATCTTTTTCATGTATTTATTTGCCACTTGTATTTCTTCTTCTGAGAAGCATATATTCAACTCAGATGCCATTTCTGAGAAGGATTTTTTTTCCACTGGCTCAGGGTGCCTTAAGGATAGGTCTGCTAAGGCAGGTGGAGGTGGGGATTGAACCATGGTAACCTGTGTCTGACTACATTTGCATGAGCAGGCGCTTAAACAACTGAGCTAACCAGAGGGCGCCCGAAAAGTTGAGAAGGATTTGTTTTTAAGATGTGCATTTCTGGATTGAGTCTTTAAAATTGGGGGGCCTAATTGTTTTTCAGTTCTTTATATATTCTAGATAAAAGACCTTTGTCTGAGTAATTATTGGTTGAGGCTTATTTATTTATTTATTTATTTATTTTTTGACATGCAGAAACTTCTCAATCAGGTGAGATCCCAGCTATTGATTCTTTGTAGTATTTCCCATGCTGTTTGGTTTTTGTTCATGAACTATCTGCCTACCCCTATGTCTTCAAGATTTCCACCTACTTTCTCTTCCAGGAGATTTAGTGTTTCTGTTTTAATGTTTAGATCTTTAATCCATTTTGACTTTAGTGTGTGGCAATAGAAGCTTTTCTCTTTGTACACTTCAGGCATCACTGCTATAAAGAGCCTTCTGATATTATGCCAAATATCCAAGACTGTATTCACATTCCACATTACCTAGTTAGCATAGTTAAGGTTTTACAGGCATTTAATTCAACAGATGTTACTTCTGATTCTGCAGTTTTCTATCTGTATTTTATGTCATGTCATTCTTTTTCTGTCTAAGCTGTAGGAACTACATTCATGGCTACAGTAATACCTATCTACTCACAATGTTCACAAGAGCCTGTACTTTAGTGGATATGATAAACAATAAATCATATATTCAAACACAGAAACAATAAGTAATGGGTCTGATAGGATTAAATCAAAATAGCACTTGAATTTTTTTCTGTTAAATACTTTAAGATATAATTTAAATACCACATCATTGATCCAATTTTAGATATCTGCATGAGCACAGACTTTTATGCAGTACCCTGACTGCATATGAAATGACACCAAGAATCAATAAATGGCTAGAAATTTCTTTTCTTTTCTTTTTTTTTTTTTTTTTTTTTTTTTTTGTGGAACCGGGGATTGAACTAGGGCATTGCACTTGCCAGGCAAGTGCTTATTCTACTGAGCCATCTCCCCAGCCCCTTAAATGGGATCATATCAAATTAAAAAGCTTCTGTACACACACACATGCAACAGAGTGAAGGGACAACCTACAGAATGTGTATGAATTTTTGCCAGCTATATTTGGGCAGAGGACTAATACCTAGAATACATGAAAAACTAAAAAAAAATTAAGACATCCCAAAATAAAAGATCCAATCAGAAAATGTGTAACTGAAGTAAATATACATAGACTCTTCTCAGAAATACAAATAGCCAATAACATATAAAATATGTTCAACTTCTGTGGTCAAAAAGGAAATGCAAATTAAAATAACACTGAGAGTCCATCTTTCCACATAAAGAATGGCCATTATCAGGAAATAAAATATAGTATTGATAATAAATGTTGGCAAGGAAGCAAAGAAAAGAGAATCCCTCTACATGGTTGGTGGGAATGTAAACTGGTATTACCAGCATAGAAATCAGCTTGGAGATTCCTCAAACAGCTAAAACTAGCTTTTTAACCCAGTTATTTCCCTTCCAGATATCTTCCCAAAAGAGTTAAAGACATCATATTACAGTGATACGTGCGCATCCATGTTTACAGCACTGGAAACCCTAACAGCTAAGTCTTGGAAGGAGCCTACATAGATGAATGGATAAGGAAAATATGTATTTATGCACAATGGAGTAATCTGCCATAAAGGATAAGCCTGAATAATTTGTAGGAAAATGGATGCACATTGAGACAATAATGTTAAGTGAAATAAATCAGACACTCAAAATTAAGTATCACATAATTTTTCTTATCTGAGAAACTCAAAATACAATCAAAGAGAAAAGTAAAAGGTAATATAAAACAAGGAAGGCCTGGGGGGTGCAGCTTAGCAGCTTAGTGCCTGCCTGGTAAGTGCAAGAACATAAGTTCAATTCCAGTTAAAAAAAAAAAAAAAAGGAAGATAAATCTTATGTAAAAGAGGAGATCAAGAGGTAGAGGGAGGGATAAATAGGAAAAAGAAAAAGAGGGAAAGAGCAGAGCATAAAAAAGAATTAAGGATAGACAGAGTGTTGCATGCATATTATCCTGGCACTTGGGAGGCTGAGGCAGAAGGATCACCTGAATTTGACATCAGCCTGAACAACAAAAGGTCTTGTCTAAATAAATAAATAAATAAATAGAATTAAGATGTGTCACGTACATGTATGAGCTTCCCACAATGAACATAATCATTTCTTACTACAAACATATTGTTCCAGTTATTTTTGTTGTTGTTTCTGGGACAAATATCTGATACTCAAAATTAGGGAAGAAAAGATTTATTTAACTCAGCTACTGGAGGTTTTAGTCCATACTCAGCTGGCTACAAGGCAGAGTGGCACACGGCAAAGATCGAAGAGCAAAGGGAGTAGTAGCAGCTCAGGCAGCTAGCTAGTCTCTACCCCCTCCACATACTGTAATGCAAGTTATCTGCCCCAGTCTAGGTGCAGCACCACATCCACAATAATCACAAACTCTAGAAGCTGCCCCATTACTACATGAGGCTTTGGGGGACACCTATATAACAACCATAAGACATACTAATAAAATCAAAAATTTAAAAAGATATTGCTATAACTGAAGAAAAAGAGAAAGCAGCTGAAACCAAAAGTGGCAAAGTGGAAAAAGAATGTTAACAGATCCCAAAGGCACTAAGAAATGGAAATCAAGAGGACCTAGTTGGATATGGAAAAAAAAAAGCACAAGAGTCAGAGCATTCGTTTCTGCCAGCCATACAGGTGGCTCATCACTTGGCTAGAGAATACGGGAGTGGTAGAAGAGCAAGTAGGTTTGGGGAGAGATAAGGACTCC